CAGGAATGAATGCTAGGCCTGAGTTAAGTGAGCTGGGACAGATTTTTTTTTGTTGTTCTTCCTATCAGTTAAATAACTAATGCAGGGGCAGGGTCTCAGCTTAGTGTTGGACTTTCATGAATATGAAATACTGGTCTGCTAGCATGGTTTTTCCTGTAATTATAGGTGTTCCATAAAATGAGAGGTGATTGGTTTGTCTGAATCTATCTTTCAGGTCTAAAACATGCCTTCCCCACTTGAGAAAGAGTAGGAACGCCCATATCCTGAACCTCAGCCCACCTATGAACCTGAATCCCATGTGGTTCAAAAACCATTGTGGTGAGTAGCATTCAGTGCCTTTGTTGTTATTTTTTGAGAACCACATAAATACCTGGTGAAATGTGCAGGAGTGCCAGCCCAGAATGCTAGATCTTGTATCTTTAGCACTATATAAAGACTGGCACTAATGGTTCTCCAGAGTGTTTTGTACCTAACCTAAAAGAAATTGTTTTATGAGAAAACATAGTGTAGGTTTCATGGCCTCATACATTCTTTATGTTTTCAAGGTAAGAGTCTGTGGTTTTTCACGGGAATTCTTAAGACTACAAAATATTTTCTGTTCCAAATAGAGATTGAAACCCAAAATCTGTTTTCTTACTGATTCAGCTTCACGTTTGATTTAATAAAGTTCAATGTTGTCTTTTAAAATGGAAATTAATTTTGCAGTGGGAAAGGGACCCCGTTTTGTCTTGAGGTTAATGTCGCTCATTTTAAAAGTGTAAAAAAAACCTTTCAATTTTGGATACTTGTCATGTTACAGTCCTCCAGCAAGTCCCAGTTCTTTCCTCCCAAAAGTTTCCCTTCTCAAAATGGATAGATGACAAGGATGTCATGGTTTAGCCCCAGCCAGCAACTCAGCACCACGCAGCCGCTCGCTCACTCCCCATACCCCAATGGGATGGGGGAGGATCGGAGGGGCAAGAGTCAGAAAACTCCTGGGTTGAGATAAGAACAGTTTAATAATTGAAATAAAGTAAAATAGTAATGATAATAATAACAATGTAATAATAATATACAAAGCAAGTGATGCACAATGCAATTGCTCACCACCCACCAACCGATACCCAGCCAGTTCCCAAGCAGCAATCACTGCCCCCAGCCAACTCACCCCAGTTTCTATACTGAGCATGACGTCACATGGTATGGAATAGGCCTTTGGGCAGTTTGGGTCAGCTGTGCTGGCTGTGCCCCCTCCCAGCTTCTTGTGCACATAAATCTGTGTTATTAACATTATTCTTATACTAAATCCAAAACACAGCACTATGCCTGCTACTAGGAAGAAAGTTAACTCTATCCCAGCTGAAACCAGGACAAAGGGTTTAGAATTTCCTTTTTGTTTAGGTGGGGTTTTTTTCCCTATAGAAGACTAGTTTGGTCGTTAGCAGCTAATATGCCTTAGGCCTCTTGAAAAAATTGAACGCTCTTGTCAGTGTGCTGTGTATAAAAAGCACAACAAAACCGCCGTACAGCTAAGATTCAGTTGTTTCTTTTGGCAAAACATGTGTAGCTCTCATTTTACTTGTAGTGAAAAGATGGCACACTACGGTTGTGTGTGCTGGGGGCGGTGGGGAGAAGGAGAGATTTTGACTCTAGAAAGATACTGTTTTGTCCCCCAAAACTTAATTTTCTTTACGAACAAGTAATTAGTTTTTTCTTTCCTTCATAATTACAGTTCTGTTGACAGAGTGTAAATTTTTATCTTTTTTATACCTCTTGTCTTAGCTTATACCATTTCTAAATATGGGATGTCCATGTGTGTCTTGGGAATGGCAGAAGAATTCAGAGGAGAAGTTGCTGTCAATGCTTTATGGCCTAAAACAGGTGATTCTTTTTTTTTTTTTTTTTTTCTAAACGTTACTAGGATAATGACTTTCTGTATTTTGTCTTCTACAGCTTGGTTTTTTTTGACTTTGATTATACTTCAGACTTCTTGTGGAGTTGATTCAGGAGACCAAGCAGTTCTTTTGCATATTCTTTGTTTGTCCTGCATGAGTGCTGGTTTTCATTCCTGGTTCTCACTAGACCATTACCACTTTGATGCAAACTCATCTTCAGCTAGTTTACAACCCATTCAATGTTTTCAGTTGGCTGAAGCATCTGTGTAGTGTTTGGCTTGTCTGTGCTCTTTCTTGTGCACCCAGAGTTTTGGTTTGGACAGCATGCTTTCATTAGTAGGTATTAAATGTCTGTGTATATAGTACTATTTAGAATTTAGAGCCATGAAACTTGGTTCTTAAAGCCTTTAGCTCCCTAGACCTCATGACCATCCTGCCTGGCTTGTCCCTAAAATGCCACTGCTGAATGGGTTTTATATCTCCTCAGAATCCTGTATGAAGGAGTAATTTCGTTTTCCATCAGTAGAGGTGATCTTTTATCTACTGTTTTGTGGGTTTTGGTCACTGACTGATTAAGCAATGTAAATTGTATTTGAGAGTTAGGGACAGTGAAGGAATTAATGCAGAGTATCTTACTCAGACAGAGATGTGGTATCAAGCTGCAGAAAACATTACTAATTTGACTTATTTTCTCATGCAAAAGGTGTTACAAGATAACCCATGTCTTGTAAATGCAGGTATTTACATGCTGCATAGGCACATTACATGCAGCCTCCACAGCTTTCTGATTCTTCAACACCTTCTTTCTATGATTCTGGATACGCTGGAGAAAACATCCACTGCTGTTGTGGAAATGAGTCGGTGGTTTTATGGGTCCCAACGTACTGTGGAAAGCTAAAGAATTCTTCCTGCTGGTTATACTAGGTCTTTATTTTGCAGTGTAGGTGTTTTCCCCCACCCATCTGAATTATTCAGCCTCCTGTTTTTCGTGGCAAGGGAAAACAGAACCTAGGAGAATTTGTCCACCTACTCACAATGAAAAATTTTTCAGAGGGATGCTAACTTTATAGGCAGAAGTTACATTAAGTCTTATGTCACATAGTTGAATACATTCTTTCTTTCCATTGTATGCATATGCTGTAGCACTCCAAATATGAGTAATAGTACCAGTGTCCCAGATACGGTCTGGTATTAAAGGATGTCTGTGATGGTATTAATTAAACTTCTACAAAATCTGGAATCCTTATTGCAGGGGTAACCCAAATGAAAGAAAGTAGTATCTTTTTCTTGTGCATTAGAGTGCCACTGTGTCCTTGGTAACATATTTGTAGCTGCTAAAATAAGTAAGAGGATAACACTGCAGAAGCTGGCACTTGTTATAGAGTGCAGCTAATATCAGGAACTTGCAGAACATGGGGACTGGAAGTGCAGGAAGATTCAGTTTACAAATGACAACAGTATAGTCTAATAAATGCTTTTTTTAATAAAGATTTCTCTCTGTGACATGCTGCAAAGTAATTTAAAAAGTAATTAAGCTTTCTATAAAGTCAAAGGTATGCAGACGGGGCTTTGTATGTGCTGAATCCATTCTTGGTCATTCAGTTTAAGACTGGTGGAAACATCAGATGAGCTCTGAAAGCTTGTATAAATCAGTGATGCCTCCATGAAAACTGATGTGCCCTCAAGTATAAAAAAGGATAATAATATGCAGATATTCGGTACAAAAAGTGTTCTTTCAAATGGTTTATCTTCCAAAAGCAAGAAAGTTAACTACTTTCATGTGGTCACCAGAGAGAGAATTACAGATTTCCATGGCATCTAAAATACAGTTGCAAAGTTCTTAATTAAAAAATCCACTATAATCTCATACAAATGTGATTAGCCTCAGTGCTAGTATGGATGCCAGGATCTATTGATTAATCTGACTCTTTAAACACGTGAAAGTATGCTGGTAATAAGATGCCAGGAGCTCTCCATTTTCCTAAAAGTGAAAGAGCAAGCCCACCAAAAGGGTGAGGGGCAATCCCATCACTAAGAGTGCCTATGAATAATAGAGGTATCCTGGGACAGAATGGGAAGACTTTTCGTGTCTATTAGAGGAAAACCAGCAGCACTGTATATGAAATAGGTGGAATAATGTGCAGCCAGACTATGAGGCAGTACCTCTTTAAAACCTTCTTGCTTCAGTCTGTGCACATAGGCTTACTGTGCTCAGAAGAGTAATAGTTGACACTGACAGAGAAGTGGCAGAAGCATGAGCCAGGAAAAGTGAACAGGTTAATGAATCCTCAGTATAGTGGAATATATTCGGGTCAACAGAACCTGGTAAATTTCATCAGAGTATTTGACAGAAATATTCTCTGAACTGTTGGTAGTTATTTAAAAAGAAATTAAAATTCTTGCAGGACAGATCAAATTTCAGAGGACTAAAGAAAGGCAAATTTATTTCCTGTCCTTAAAAATGAGAAGACCACCTAGGGAGTACTAGGTGTGTGTACAGTGTATCTATTTGCCACTTTTTATTTAGGTGTGTATTTATAGCAGTTCAGCTGATTTGAAAAAAAGAAGCCGAGGTGGGTCAAAGGTAAATGAAACTTAGGGGCTAATCCTCACCACAGAAGAGTAAGATAAAGGAATCAACAAGGACATCTACCCACTCTTGCATTTTCCTAGAAAACACTGACAGGATCTCCCAGGCCAGCATTGAAGACTGCCGTCCTTTTTCCCAGTTCTACTTTGGAAGGTGAATGGTCCAGCTCAGACAGATGTGTCCTGCACAGTGCCTGTTCTTTGCTTTTTGAGGGATGTTGGGATCATTTCTGCATCAAAGCTGCTGTTACTTTGGAATGAAAACACTGAGAGGAGGACAAAAGTGATCTAAAATCAGGTTTATCTTTCCACCTCCAGGATCTACAGGTCGCAGGTGTAGGAGAGGATTTGCGAATGTGTCCCAAAACTTGGGGGCAGAGTGTTGAGTCTTAAGTAGTAGATGGGAAAAGCAGAACTGTATGAGGGGAAAACAGTAACATGGCAAATGCTGAAAGCTACAACTGAACAGCCTCTCTGTGGATCAGGGTGAAAGAAAAATAGAATGGACACCTCAGCCTGGGAGACCAAATTACAGACTTAGACTGGAACATGCCACAGTGTTAGCAGCTCCCTTGCAGGAAGCATAAGGAAGACTAATGGAATAGTGCAGAAGTTAGTAGAATTGGTCAATAAAATAACCAGAAGCTTAGGAGATCTGGATTTTATTCTTGGGTCTAGCACAGCCTTTCTGTGGAATATTGAAGCTTTTTGAGTTTTTGCTATTTGGTTTCTCATTAATGTAGGGGAGATGCTTTGGTATCTCATGGAGTTATTACAAGGCTAAAATTAAGCATCAAGATTTTCAGTGTGATAGTCGCCAAAGGAAATACCTCTTAATGAGTGAGGTAATATACATTCACTTTGACAAAAATAGTTATCCTGTTAGTTTTTCATGTCCTGAATTACCTGGAAGAAATCCATGGTGGGGGGCACTGATAAAGGGATAAGAGGGATGTGAATGTCATAAAAAGTCCTGCCCATTATTCTACTTTTTGGTTCTTTTAATAGTTTTCTGGGTTTTACTGGTGCTTGTAGAAAATTATTTGTTCGTTGGTAGTATGCCATAGCTTTGTCTTCTACAATTTCCTTTTGTATGAAGGGAAAACAACATCTGTGTACTTGCCAGAGAAATGGGAATTTCATGTTGTCAGTGTTACAGCTTTGTTTTCTTACCCTCCAAACTTTCTAGCCATACATACAGCTGCGATGGATATGCTGGGAGGATCTGGAATAGAAAAACAGTGCAGGAAAACAGACATCCTTGCAGATGCTGCATATTGCATTTTAACAAAACCAAAAAGTTTCACTGGCAACTTTGTTATTGACGAAGTTCTGCTGAGAGAAGAAGGAGTTAAGGATTTTGATGTCTATGCAATTGCACCAGGTAAAACAGAACTTCAAGATGAGAAGTAAGTTCAGGAAGGAGGGGAGGCCATATGGAGAATATTAATATAGTTTTGTTTCTAGGGGCTCTTAAATTAGTCTGTAAAAAGTTGCTTTGCCTCAGCTTTCTGAACATATCTTCCTGGAGAGGACATATAAGTCCACTGAGATTCTAATGAATTGTCTATTAAATTAAAAAAATACTTTAATGAAAAGAAAATGTACCTGCACTGTAGATGTATGTATTACTATTTACCAGCTAGTTTTTCATTGCAACTTTAAGAGACTAGGTCAGATTTTAAATGAACCAAACCTAAACATGTTATTTCGTGCTGAGTCTTTCCTTCAAATTGTAGTTTATTTGCTTACAAACATGGCTGTAGTTTCATATGAAATGGATTCCTGTTTTCCTACCCAACTTTACTTGGACTTACTATTACATTTTTCTTCCCTTTTAGGTCACCCCCTGATGCCTGACTTCTTCTTGGATGTTGAAACTGACATGACAGCTGTGAAACAAGAAAGATACGGTAGGGGAAGCGCTGTTTGTACAAGTTGATAATTTCTGACAATAATGAATGCCCTCTGTATTTCAAGTTGGTTGGATTTTGGTTTTCTCTCCCAAGAACTTGGACTCCATTCAAGCTATTTGCCAAAAAAACTTTTCTCATTTGAAGAGTACGATCTGCGGAAGTGGCTGTGGAGCCTCTGCATGTAAAGCTAGGGGAAGAATGTTACCTTCCGCAGGACTTTGAAACTTTTGTGGTTTATAATCAGTGCCTTATTTTGAAGAATCCTTTTTTATACTGAAGGTGACAGGTAAATATTGCTGGAAAAAGAAATTAAACAGCAAACAGCACATTTTGCAGGAGTGTCTCCCGTGCCTTGCTAAATTCATACAAAAGAACTTGACATAGAGTTACTGAAAGTATTCGTGTTCTTAGCAGGATAGGAAGACAGAAGTAAGTGGTGTTTATTGAAGACATTGATTTGTTTTGTGTGAGTGCCGTCAGGAGTGTATGGATTGTGTTAGAAAACACCGTGCTGCGTAAGCATTTGTAGTGGACTGTGAACAGTCAGAATTTTGCTGTGGTTTTATTTTCACTTTCCTTTTGACGTATTAGGAAGTGAAACAGATTGCAGAGTTACCTTTAGTGCTCTACACCTGTTCAGATTCCCCCGGGCTAAAGATGTCCTTTATCGGTATTAATACTGAGATGGGAAGATATTCCTTTTCCCTCCTGTGAAGCTTAAAGCTCTTAGAACCCGGAGTTCTTTAAGCAGGTTTCTCCGTGGGGTTTTAAAGTGTTTTGCATTTGAAAGAGAAAAGGAATCTCTCTCTTGTAGGTGCTTCCCAGGCATTCAAAGAGGAGAAGAAATTGAGCGGATCCCAGCACGAAGAACCAAGTGGAGCTGGGGGCAGCACAGGATCTGCTCCAGCCAAGCCACTGAGTCCTGTTGCAGAAACATTCAGAGTCATTCAGGGGGCAATGAGTGAAGAGTACGTGAGAACGACGCAGGGTGTCTTCCAGTTTGAATTATCTGGTGAGACCATCACCTGTAAAACCTTCACGTGCCGCTCACGCTCCCAGCAAAAGGCGCTCGGTGTTTCCAAACAGAAACACTCGCCTTTTCAAGCCGATCCCAAAACAGGCCACCTTCTGTTCCCTTCTGTGTGACGCTCCTTCTCCGGACCAGCGTTGGCACGCGCAGGAAGCTGCTGCCGCCCCTGGCGCGTGCAGGCAGGCTTTGTCACAGGGCTGGCCCTGCGGCACAGGGTTCGCACAGCGCTAGACGGGTGCTCGCAGGGCCACGTTAACAGCGCCGGCTGCCACCGGCTCTGTCGGCAGCGAGCTGCCTTTGGGCTCTTCTGCCCGCGTCCCCGACATGTGCTGCTGCGGGGCCTCTGCCAGAGGCTGGCTTTGCCTGCACGCACAACGTGGGGCAAGTGGTAACTTCCTGCAGAGCACCGCCGGCGTACGTAGTATCCCGTAAGCGCTCCAGATGGACGCGGCAGCGGCTGTCGGACAGAGGAACGGGGAGGGCACAGCGCTTTTTGCTGCCTTGTCACCTCTTTTCACTGTCTGTTCAGGTGATGACGGAGGCACTTGGTATATTGACCTGAAAACCAAGGGTGGGAGCACTGGGTTCGGAAAGCCTCCTGTGACAGCTGACGTGGTCATGAGCATGTCAAGTGCCGACTTTGTGAAAATGTTCACAGGTGAGTGGCAAAGGCATTTGCCGGGGTGGATGCAGGTCCTGGTGCCCGGAAAACCTTCTGCTGATGGGCCCATAGACAGCTCTGCGATCCGGGGGTGGAGGAGCTCTTGGCTTTTTGTGGCTCAAGTGCAAGTGTGGGATAGAACTGCTTGGATTTTTCTGAACTCTCCTGTCCTGTGAACAGGAAGAGCGCAAAAGCCTGTGCCGCTTCTATGAACTAGGTATTGAAATTTTAGCCGCGAGCGTAGGTTCAGGAAGAACTCAGTCAATCTGTTGGACTTCTGCACATCTCTAATCCATGTTTCCCAAATGTGCCCTGCTTTTACAGCAGAACTTGGTAGCAATACAGCTGCTAGGTCTCTCTGTAGTGGCATTACATTTTCCTCTGCACAGGCTGTCTCCTGTTCCTTTTCATTTTCTGATGGTTCTGTTTCTTCTTTTTAGGTAAACTGAAGCCAACCATGGCCTTCATGTCAGGGAAATTAAGGATTAAAGGTAACATGGCGCTAGCAATAAAGCTGGAGAAGATGCTGACACAGCTTAACTCTAAACTGTGAGGGGAAAGCCTTACTAGCAGAACAGTGGCCTTTCATATATAACTGCAATGCTGTTTTAAAATGGTAGTCCTCATTTTTTTCTGATGCAATATAATAACTATGGATAAAATGTGAGATTTTTTTAGAGGAGAAATAACTCTGATTCAGACAAGAAGGTGTTTGTCTGCAATTAAACTAATTCCTTCTCAAGAATCAGGTATTAGCTTGCAGGTGTTTTCTTTTCTACTGCTCCTCTGGGTCAATGCAGGACACCTGAAGTGAGTTTTTTCCCACATAGTTGCTTGCACATATGTCCCATAAAAAAGGTGGGGGGAGCAAATGCACCCTGCAGATCTGTGATAGAAGTGCCATGCAGAGATTCCTGAGCTGGCTTAGAAGTGGAAGCAATATGGTCAGTTCAGGAAGGTCCTAGTTACCCCTCATAAATGAACATCTCTTTTTTTCTTTTTTCTTTTTTCCTTCCCCCTTTCCTGAGTTTATGACCTACACTAGTTCCTATACCTCTCTATTGCACTGAGTTAGGCCACACAGGCATGCCAAGTGGTACACAAGTTTTCTTTTTGTGCAAAGGTATATATGCACACACATGCACATTACCCTGCCCGCAACTGCTACAGACAAGGTGCTGTCTTTCACATCACCTTCATGTAGCATTGTGAGGATTAACCTACATCACTGCAGCCAGCCACTTCCCCTTCCTTCCCTTTGGCTGGAAAAGGTTGAAGCTCACTAGTAAAAGCATGCATGCCCCCACTCTGTAAGTGGACATGTGCGCATGTGGTCTGCAACTTTCTGTGACAGCATCTGCAAAGCCAGGTAGACCAACCTCTTAAACTGTTTATTCAGTGTCCCGAAAAGAACTGCCCAGAATTTGGAGCATTTTACTCTCCTAAGCAAGCTGAAAAGCTTGCAAGACTTAGGATTTATTTCTTAATTCACTTAGCAGTCCAATAGTTTACAAGTTGGACGTCATTTACAATGTGGACGTCATTTACCTGGACTTTAGCAAAGCCTTTGACACAGTCTCCCATAGCATTCTCCTTAGGAAGCTGGCAGCTCATGGCTTGGACGGGTGTAGTCTTCGCTGGGTGAAAAACTGGTTGGGTGGCCGAGCCCAGAGACTAGTGGTGAATGGAGTTAAGTCCAGTTGGCGGCCGGTCATGACCGGTGTTCCCCAGGGCTCAGTTTTGGAGCCAGCCTTGTTTAATATGTTTATCAATGATCTAGATGAGGGGATTGAGTGCACCCTCAG